GGGCGGGCCTCGGGGGGGGGGGCGGGGTCGCGCCCACTCCGCCTCGGGCTTGAGGTCCTCCTCGCCCTTGGCGTCCGCGGCGGCCTGGAGTTCGGCGTTGAAGTCCGTGATGTCGCGGACCTTGTACCAGCCCCAGAAGGCGATGATGGGCCAGTAGATGACCCAGATGATGAGCTCGAGGTTCGTGATCGCCGGGCGGTACCAGAAGAGGACCATCATGAGGAAGAAGAAGCCGTTCTTGGTGTCGCAGCAGCCCGTGATGTCCCAGACCTCCTCGTTGGGCCAGGCGATGGACTGGCCCTTGCCGTCGCACGACTTGGCGCGCTCGGTGACGAGCTTGCGGCCGTAGGCCTCGGGCACCTGCTCGACGAGCGCGTCGTACCAGGGCTCGGCCTCGAGGCGGCGGTAGGAGTGCCACGACGCGTCGGCCTCGTCGTCGTCGCAGTTCTCCTCCTCCCAGTCGCCGTCGGGCCGCGCGCCGATCTCCTCGAGGCCGTCGTAGTACGCGACCTCGTCGTCGAGCGTCGAGCCGTCGTCGCACGCCTCGAGGCCCGGGATGGCGTCGAGGGACCCGACGTCGGCGCAGGTGATGCCGAGGCAGGCGTAGGACGCCTGGAAGGCCTCCTTGACGGCGACGTAGCCGTCGGGGACGAGCTGGTCGTGCGTCGACGCGTCGAGGACGTCGGGGAGCACGAGGTTCCGCTCGAGGACCGCCGCGGCCTCGGGCGCGCACGACGCGACGCGGGGCAGCACGGCCATGGTGAAGGCGTGGAGCTCGGCCCAGGTCTTGCCGTGGCCCAACGACGCCGTGCCGAGCGCCGTGCCCTCGCCCTGGGGGTCCGCGCGGTACGCGTAGCGCATCGCGCCCTGCATGAGTGGGAACGTCATCTGCACGAGGATCTTGTCGACGTAGGTCCGCGCCTCGGCGCAGCGCGTCTCGTCGCGCACGGCGGCGAGGCCCGCGCGGTAGAGGCGGAGCATGCGCGCGTTGACGTCGCTGTTCGCGCCGTCGCCCGCCTCGCGCCACGCGGGGCGGCCCGCGTCGTCCGCGCAGTAGTTCCAGGCGTTGCAGCGCATGTCCGGGAGCGCGTAGGACAGGGACCCGAAGGGCGACCCCGTCTCGCCGGGGATGGAGCCCACGTAGAAGGCCCAGCCCTCGTCCCACGCGTGCGGCGCGCCCTCGGGGCCGACGTCGCCCGCCTCGCACTTGCCGAGCGCGCTGTAGAGCTCGTGGAGGCTGTACATCCACGTCGACTGGTACTGGGCCGCCTTGAGCGCCATCTGGAAGGCCATGTCCCAGGAGAGCGTGTTCGTAGAGAAGAGCTCGGGCCGCGGGTCGAGCTTCGCCGTCGAGTTGTCGCTCAGGCGGTCCCACATGACCGCGCGGACGTAGTCGTCGGCGTATTTGGCGTTGCCGTGGTAGGCGAGGAACTCGTCGTAGGTCGGCTCGCCGCTCAGGTCCTTGGAGAAGCCGCGGAGCGTCCGGAAGCCGTCGCCCTTGGCCGAGTTGCCGCCCTGGTCGTAGATCTCCCACGCGCCATCCCAGTCCTCGGCCTGCATGCGGTCGCTGAAGGCGCGCATGTCGAGGTCGATGGCCGCGTGGGGCGCGATGTCCGTGTAGGGCACGTAGGACGCGTACGTGCCGAAGGGCGCCTGGACCGCGGGCACCCAGACGTCGTCGCAGATGCGCTTGCAGGCCCAGGCCCCGAAGGCCTCGCCCTTCTGGAACTCGTAGGACGCGTGGGACCCGAGGCCCGCGGCGATGAGGGCCAGGAAGCCCGCGGAGAACTTGAAGAAGAGCGACAGGTCCATCTTGTTCGTGCCGACGAACATCGACGCGCCGAACGCGACGCCCGCGAAGATGCCCGTGACGATGGGGATGGGCATGGACTCGGGCCTGTAGGCCGCGCCGAAGCCGACGACGAAGATGGCCGCCTCGAAGCCCTCGCGGAGCACGGACGTGAAGCTGAGCGTGAAGAAGCCGTACTCGTTCGTCTTGTCGATCTGCGCCTGCACGAGCTCGTCCATGTTGCGCTCCCACTTGACCTGCCAGGACCCGGACGACTTCATGCCCGGGGCGAGGTGCGTGACGAGGAAGTAGGTGATGACGACGCACGCGAAGCCGAGCATGCCGCCCTCGACGACGAACGCCGTCGTCGTCGTCATCGTCGACTTCTGCGTGTAGTAGATGGAGAGGATGACGACGCCGATGGCGACGGACGCCGCGCCGCCGACGGCGGCGCCGAGCCAGACCTGGCGCTTCAGGTGCTTGGCGTCCGCGCGGTTGAGGTACTGGATGAGCACCGCGACGAGCACCGCGGCCTCGAGCGTCTCGCGGAAGAGCACGAAGAACGCGGGGATGCAGAACCAGTCGTTGAAGTCCTGGACGCCCATGGTCTGCGCGTGTTTCTTAAGCCCCTCGGGGGGCTTTGGAACGTGGGTGGAGTGGTGTCAGCTTCGACGGAAGCCGAGCGAACGTTTAGAGCGTCGAGGGCGCTCGCGGGACCGGTTTTTTTTTTCCCGACGCGTGCCCGGGGCCTCGGAGGGGGGCCGGGCGGGGACGGAAGCCGGGGAAGATCGCTCTGGATGGACGAGGTGGCGAAGAAGCACGACAACCTCAGGTGCCACAAATCGCTGAGCGCTCAGGAGATGCTCAAGGAGCGAGGATCGCGAGCACGTGCGCCACGTGCCTCCTGGGCCTGGCTCCCGGACGCCGTCCCGGGACACGCCTCGGAACCCCCTACGCTGACAGCCGCATCCAGGTCATCTAGGACGTTACAACGTCGGTGCCGAGGAATAGCGCCGTCGCCGCGTCCTCGTCCAGGAGCGTCGCAGCGAAGCGGTGGTCCGCGAGCGCGGCGGCGCAGGGCCGGAGCGCGCGCGCGAGGTCGACGGCGGCGCGGCGCGCGGCCTGCGCGGAACTCAAATCTTCAACCCGACTTCAATGCGTGCGTAATTGAACTGCTCTTCGGCTCTGCTTCGAGAACTCGACGAGAGCCATCGATTCGTCCAAAAGTCGGCCGAATCGACCTCGATTCGACCGAGCTCGAGAGTTCCGAAGTTGGTCGGGACGTCCCAGCTCACTGTTTGAGTTCCACACAGCGCGCGGCGGCCGCGGGCGCGTCGCGCGCCGCGAGCCAGCCGTCGAGCGCGGCGTCGAAGGCCGCGTGGACGGCGAAGAACGCGGGGTCGTTGACCGACGCCTTCGCGTTGTCAAAGTCGCCGACGACCTGTGTGGAAATCAAATCTTCAACCCGACTTTAATGTGAGCGTAATCGAACGGTTCGGACCGGACTCTTTCGCTGTGCTTCGAGAACTCGACAAGAGCAATCGATTCGTCCAAAAATCAGCCGAATCGACGTCGATTTGACCGAGCTAGAGAGTTCTGAAGTTTGGTGGGGACCCCCCAAACCACTGGTTGATTTCCACACAGCCGACGACGTGGTCCGTGCGGTTGCAGCCGCGGGCGCCGCCGAAGGCGCCTGGGCGGGAGAGGGGTGGTTCGACGTCGCTTCGACGCGAGCGTTCCGAACGACCGCGCCCGCTTCGAGCGCGCTCCGAGGGACGATCGCTCGTCCGAAACTCAGCCGACGCGAGAGCGGAGCCTTTGACGTCGGGCACGCCGCCCGTTTCCCGCCCTGGAAGGCGCGGTGCACGAGCACGTGCGCGCGGAGCGCGCGCTCCGCGGCCGCGGCCCAGTCCGTCGCGTTTCTGAACGCCGCGAACGCGTCGCCGGCGGCCTGGGCAGGACAAGGGTGATTCAACGTCGCTTCAACGTGAGTGTTCCGCGCGCGCGCGTTCCGGAAAAAGCATCCACGCGTCGAGATCGTTCCGAGAGATGATCGCTCGTCCAAAAATCAGCCGAAACGAGTGGAAACCGGCCGAGATCGGAGCCTTTGAAGTTGGGAATTTCGCTCTCTTGTGCTGCCCTGCCCGCGGCCGCGTCGAGGCCCCGCGACCGCTCGCCGCAGTAGGCGTCGTAGCGCACGAGGACGGGCGGCATGGCCCGCTTCGCCGGCGTGTCGTGCGTGACGCCGCGCCAGGCGACGGGCCAGCCCGCGAACGCGCCGGCGCCGACCGCGTAGCCGCGGTCCGCGTCGCCGGCGAGCGGCCCGAGCACGCCGTCCCAGGCGCCGTGGCCGCCGGGCGGTCGGGGCGGCACGTCGCCGAGGCCCCGGGGCGCGACCGCGCGGAACGCGGCGAGGAACTCGCGGCGGAGCAGGCGGTGGTACGCGAAGAAGAGCGGCCCGCTCGCGTGGATCGACGCGTCGCCGCACCGGAGCGCCGCGAGGTCGTCACCGTGGGCCTCGACGAAGGCCTCGTAGGGCAGGAAGGCCGCGCCGTAGCGGAGCCGCCCGGCCCACGCCGGCGTCGTCCGCAGGCGCCAGAGGGCCGCCGCCGCGAGCGCGGCGTCGTTCCCGCCCGAACCGGACGCCGACGCGGCGACGAGGGGTCGTCGCCGGGCGAGGGACGCGACGCCGGCGACGACCAACGCCGCGCAGGCCGCGAGCCCCAGCGCGACGCGCCATCGCCGCGGCGCCGGCGCGAAACCCATGCGAGGTTTGCCTACGACGCTTTTTTTGCCCGAGATGCCTCGCGCTCGCCGATTCTAGTCGTGAGTCCGGACTCCGGCGGCCTCGTCGGCCGCCTCGGCCTCCTCCTCGTGGCGCCGGCGAGCTCGGTTCGCCCGAGGTACCCCGCGAGCCCCCTGGGTAAGCACCGCGCGATTCGGCCACGGCGCGCCGCCCAACACGACCCCGAGGCGAACAGTAGGCGCCGGCCCGGCCCGGCGCGCCGTAGGCGGGCCCGCGAGCCACGCTACTGCGAATCGCGGCGCCGGCCGCGTCGCCGTTTATGAGGGCGCCCCGCGCTCACGCGGCGAGGCCGCAGAGCGTGTAGCCGTAGGGCGCGCCGTCGCCGGCGAGGGTCTCGTCGATGGGCCGCGGCGCGTCGCCGTCGTCCGGCGTGTCGACGTCCGCGGCCTCCGGCGCGAGGACGAGGCCCGGCCCGTGCGGGTCCTCCGCGGCCTCCTCCGGCGCGAGGACGAGGCCCGGCCCGTGCGGGTCCTCCGCGGCCTCGTCGCCGGAGAGGCCCTCGACGTCGTGGAGCTCGTAGACGTCCGGCGCGGCCTCCGCGGCCTCGTCGCCGCCGCCGGCCTCCGCGGCCTCCGCGGCCGCGTCGCCGCCGCCGGCCGCGTCGCCGCCGCCGGCCTCGTCGCCGCCGGCGGCCGCGGCGGCGGAGTCGTCGCCGCCGTCCTCCGCCGCCCAGCCGAGCACGTCGGGCGGCGCCGCGCCCACCGCGAGCGACGCGCGCCGCTTGTCGTTGGGCGCGAGCGTGAAGTGGTGCGCCTGGAGCTCGAAGGCGCGGCGCGCCGTCGCGAGGTCCGCGCGGAGCGCGCAGGCCTCGTCGCGGAGCCGCGCGGCGTCGGCCTCGGACGCCGCGAGCCGCTTCCGGAGCGCGGCGCACTCGGCGGCGTCCGGTGCGTCGGCGCCGGCGTCGCCGGCGTCGCGCGCGCCCGCCTCGAGGAGGCCGGCCGGTGGCGCGGCCGGCGGCGGCGCGGCCGCGAGGAGCGCGCGGCAGTGGTCCGCGACGCGCCGGAGGTAGTAGGCCGCGGCGAGCACGCCCCACGACGCACAGAAGAGCGCGGCCGTGATGCGGCCGTCGAAGCGCGCGTCGCGCGAGCCCGTCGCGTGGCGCTCGAGGTCGCCCCAGCGGCCCGTGAGGACCATGAACAGGACGACGCCCAAGACGACGCACGGCACGCCGATGAGGCCGACGACGAGGATGACGGAGATGGCGTTGAGCCGGCCCTGCTTGTCGATGGGCGCCTGGCAGGGCCACATGGCGCCGCAGGGGATGGCCACGGGCACGGCCGCGAAGACGACGACGCCCATGACGGCGACGAAGCCCGCGTAGGAGCTCGCGAACGCGCCGCCCGCGAGCGCGACGAAGATCGCCGCGAGGTACTTGGGCGCGACGAGGATCTCGCCCTTGCGCGTCGACGAGTAGTGGTAGAACCAGGCCATGAGGCCCGCCATGCCGCAGGGGATGAGCGCGAGCGCCGCGTCGATGCGCTGCTGCTTCGTCGGCTTGACGCGGTACCTGGGCGGGAAACGATAAGAGTCAACACGGCTTCCATAGGCAACTCTTCGCACGGGGTTGACATAGGTTTCTCGCTGTCTAGTAAGAACCCGCCGAGAGGAACCGATCCGTCCAAAAATCAGCCGAAACGACTGCGATGTGACCGAGAGGTTTGAAGTTTTCGCCGGACGGGGCGTTCCGCCGGTCGTTTCCCACGCGGCGCGGTACTGGAACGCGAGGCCGAAGAGGAGGCCGTAGACGCCGCCGCCGTAGAAGACGGCCGCGACGAAGCGCGTGAAGTCGTCGAGGAGCGGCTCGCCGCCGCGCCACCGCGCCTTCTGGTCCTCCCAGCCCGCGTCGACCTGGGCAGGAAAAGGGTGATTCAAGTTCTCTTCAACATGAGTGTTCCGCGCGCGCGCGTTCCGGAAAAAGCGTCCATGCTTCGAGACCGTTCCGAGAGATGACCGCTCGTCCAAAAATCAGCCGAAACGAGTGGAAAACGGCCGAGATCGGAGCCTTTGAAGTTGGGAATTTCGCTCTCTTTTCCCGCCCTGGCGTCGACGAGCCGCCACGCCTCCGACACGGCCGCGCCCAGGAGCTCGCAGCCCGCCGGGTCGCCCGCCGCCGCCGGCCGCGTCTCGGGCATGAGGAGGATGGCGCCCTGGGCGACGGCCTTGATGCCGAGGGCGATGTAGATCGCCGCGCGGATCGTGAGCACCTTCTGCCGCACTAAAACGCCGCCGACGATCTGCCCAAAGAGCGACCCCGTGCCGCTGTAGAAGCCGCCGGCGATGCCGCCGCCCTGGATGTTCTGGATGCCCTCGTCGGCGACGACGGCCTTGGACATGAGCTTGTCGCCCGGGTCCCGCCGGTGCCGCTCCGCGGCGCTCGTCCGCCGCGCCTCCGCCTCGCGCGCGGGGTCGATGTACATGGTCAGGTCCAGGAAGTAGTTCTGCTCGCACGCGCTGTGGACGTTGAAGAGCGCGCGCAGGAAGTAGATGCCCAGGATGTAGTACATGTCCGGGATCGTCGCGATGAGGAAGTTGCAGCCGATGTCGAACATCTTCGACACGTAGATGAGCCACTTCCGCGGCATGCGGTCCGCGACCTCGCCGTGGATCGGCGCCAGCGGGATGCGCGGCACCTGGTAGACCAGCGTCGACCAGAGCGCGAACATGGCCATGCGCTGCGGGTTCTCGTTCAGGACGCGGAACGACATGTAGAGGCTCAGCGGGATGCCCAGGCAGCCCGACGCGAAGCCGTCGAGGAAAAAGTACTTGAAGAGCGGGCCCAGGCGCTTCAGCAGGCCCTGC